ACTGGATTTCTTAGCCACTTTTGCTCCTAACTGCTATGGTGGCATTGGGGGGATGTGGCTGACAGCAGAAATGTTCCCCTAATGAACATATAATTATTTCTTTCCTTTTACAAAACTGCAGGGGGAGGGAGAGGCAATCCCCATTGCTTTCCTCCTCCATCCTCTTCATGTCAGTGCCCCAAAGTTGGATCGATTCCTCCACCTGTAAGTGATTGTCCAACAGTGAGCATTACCCCATAACAAGTGATGGACCCTGTTGTGAGAGCTCTCACTTTTTTGTATCACTTGGAGAAATTGTATTTTAGTAGTTATTCAGATGATGAAAATAATCCAGGTAGAATCAGGGTTGAATCATTGTAGTTTACATGAATTTCAAATGCATCCAATGAAGTTTTTTTGGGGGGTGGGGCTGCCAAAACCTCCCACTTAACCCAGGATAATAGATCTCAGGGTTTTTCCTGAGTTTTCCTGAAAGATTCACGTTGTTGGCTGTGTGACTAAGTGATGTAAACAGACCTGGGATAAGCCAGAATAAAACTCTGCATGCCTCGAACATGCTTCAAATACAATTGCATCATCGGAGTTTATCACACGGGAGGGATCCCATGCAAAAACGGATTGATTTTCAGACAATGTCTGACATTAACATGGACAGAAAGTGGAAAAAAACCACAAAAGCAGATTGATTTTCAGATGACATTGGGGTTAATGAGCATTAACATGACTTTAACCTGGACAGAAAGTTGACAGAACGCGCTGCTTTTTACTTTCAGAAAATCCCCAAAATCCCAAAAGTAAAAAGTTGACTTTCTGTCTGGGTTAATGTTGTGTTAGGACAAAAAATTCTCCTGGCAATTTGCCCTGCTTTTTTTTAATCAGTTGACTTGATGTTCTATCTATCATAGGTTCAGCCACGCCATTCATATCTCCTAACATTATTATATTTTCATATTCTAGCTCAACTATCCATTCCCTTAATCTTTGATAGAATTTGTTTTTATTTTCTAAAGGCCCATATACACCAATTAACAATGTTTTCCTCCCTTCTAACAATATCTCAATGGCCAAAAAATGTCCTGGGCAGAAGCCATTTTGATTAAAGGATTGTATAAGAAAGGACTATGGGTGAAATATAAGGACCTGATTAAAATAGAAAAAGGTGAAATGACTTGTAAATCACAAGAGGAATTAAAACAAAATGGATTTGATATTAATTGGTTCACCCATAGACAATTGTTGGAACGTTTCAGATTAGATGTACATTTAGATCAGATTGGGCCAGCAAACATAAATTTTGAAATTTTTTAAGGAGAATCCAAAAAGAAGATTTCAAAATTTTATAATTTTATAAGGAATTGGGAACTGGAAGATAATTTAGTAAAAGATTATATGGTTAATTGGGCCCAGGATTTAAATCAAGTTATTCAGTTATCGGAATGGGAAAAAACATGGGAAAAAAGAGTAAAATACATGCTCAGTGTTGATCTTAGAGAAAATCTTTACAAATCGTTATTTCGTTGGTACCTAACCCCATTAAAACTTTCCAAAATGTATAAAGGCAGTAATCCAATATGTTGGAAATGCGAAAAGGAAGTTGGGTCATACCTACATATGTGGTGGAATTGTGAATTGGCGAATAAATATTGGAAAAATATTAATAATGAAATTAAAGAGATTTTAAACATTTGTATTCATCCTGATCCTAAAATGTATTTGGTAAATGTAGTGAATTTAGAGTATGAAAGGAAATATGGAAAATTACTTTTTGTATTCATCACTGCAGCCAGAATGATTTATGCCAAAAACTGGAGGAAGCAGGACATATTGAAAATTGAAGACTGAAGAATGAAAGTATTGGATATTTTGAAATGGAAAAGTTGACTTATTTAGTTCGGAATGAGACTTTGACAGAATTTTACAGTATTTGGAAACCATGGTGTTTATATATGACTGTAAAATTAAAAATAATTCAATATTGAAAATGGATTTATATAATAACTTAGTAGTAGAAAATGCCTGGAAAATTTCTTTAATTGTTGTTTTGTAATAGATTTAGGAATATAGGTGGATTTGTAGATTTAGGAGTATAACATAAGTCAGTTATGCATAAATAGCTGATATAGGGTTCACGATGTTAACATGTAATTGATGTGTAGTTATAACAGAAATTTGGACATTTACTTCCTCGTACAGCTCTGGAAGAATTTTTTTTCTTTTTCTTTTCTTTTCTTTTCTTTTCTTTTCTTTCCTTTTTTCTTTTTCTTTTTTTTCTTTTCATCTTCTTTTTATATTTTCTCTTTTTTTCTTTTCTCTCTCTCTCTTCTTTCTTTATTGTGGTAGTTTGCTCATTATATATATATATATATATTTACTGTATACATATTATATAATGCTTGTTTTTTGTTTTTTTTTGTTTTTCTCTCTTTTGTATGTTATGTGTACTGTTTTATTCAATAAAAAAATTAAAAAATTAAAAAAATGTTGTGTTAATGCTCATTAACCCCAATGTGTCTGAAAAATCAATCTGCTTTTATGGGTTTTTTTTCCCTGGGTTTTAAATCCCATTTCTGCATGGGATTTGGACACTTTGCCTCCCATGTGATAAACTCCATAGACTCCATCTTTATCCAAGTGCTTGCACATGTGAGCAACAGAACTTGCAGAGATGTGCAGAGATGCAGTTCCATAGTGTGAACAACAAAACTGGAATGCATGAATGAGATTATTCACATCAACATGCTAAGACAAGCAACGTCTGAATAATCCCTTAGTCAGAGCTCAGCATATGCAGCTGCTGAATGGGACCTGGTGTTTGTATGATATATTGGGCCAAGAGATCAAAACCAGAGAACAAGCTAATAGTGAAGACAATGAAATCCTACTTGGGAGGACCAATAGCTGGTTGTGGGTTTCTGGTTCTATGCACAGAGCTGCAGATT